TAAAGTGTCAAAAAGTAAAGAAATACTTAGTTATTAATTATCATGAATGTTGTTGTAAAGTATAAATTTTACTACTTTTTAAATCTTAAATCTAAAAGAAAGAAACACCTGATTGGTTTAGAAAATTAATATTTCACATTTTTTTAGTTTATTCTTTTATAACAATGATCATGTAAATAAATATCTATTAATATTGCCATATGTTTGGTATCAAAAAAATTGTTTAGGTTGGATTGTTATTCATGTTAAAGAGAGATATAATACATGAAAAAAATAATTAATATCTTATTATTCTTTAAAAATACAGCAGTCAAACTAAAAAGAATAGTATATGTCATATTATATAATTTATAACAATTATTAGCAAAATATACAAAAATTTGATAAACCACTCTCAAAATAAATGAGTAATCAATCACATATCTGATATTAAAAAGAGTAAATAAATTAAGAAATTACAAAAGTAATAAAAAAATTAAATTTTATTACAGCTGATTATTTATTTTTTCATACACATCAAATTATTTTCACTTTGTATTTTAGATGAAATAATTAATTAACTTATAAGAAATTTATTACATTTTGCAAAAATTCAAATATTAAAGTTATTGTTTGCTATCTTTAAAAGCAATTTTATTTGTTTATCTATCTATCTAATTTAAATATAGATGAGCTCAGTGAAAAGTAATTGTATAATTTTTAGTCTTTTTATGGGATTTGCTAAAGTAGCTTATAATATAGTTTCTAAGTTGAATTTTAAATATTTGATAAAATTTTTTTAGTTTTCTCTCATTTTTTTGATAAAATATTAAAAATAATTTTATCTAAATCAAGTAAAAAATGTTTAGATTACAATTATTGATCATAATATTTTTAAAAATTTGATGCTTTAATAAATATATTTGATCCATAAAAACTTGCTTGCTTGCGATAATGCTTTCACAGAGTTATAATTAGCTTTAATAGTCAAAGCTAATCGATTAAATTATATTTAAAATACATTATTGATATTCATTTTTTGATATTTTAAGCAATATAAAAAATATTTTTCTGATTTATAATTAGCCTACTTGAAATTTCATTATGATACTTTTAATTTATTTAATAGCTAATTTTTCTATCTTTTGTTATGAATCTTGATTAATATTGAAACTTTCTGATTATTGTTAATCAAAAAAATCTGATAAATTATTATTGAAAATGTAAATTAATTATCTATACAAGAACTACTGTAGCAAAAAAGATATTTTTCTCTCATTTCCATACAAATTTAGAATTGAAATTTAGCACTCTAAGAAGAGATGCTTAGTCTACTTAGAAGTTATTAAAAGTTTTATTATAAATATATTTCATAAGAATCAAAATATCATATTAATAAGATAACAATTAAAATATATTTCCTATTCCACCATTTACATTGTAAATTTATTGAGTAAAAAAACCACAAATATATAAATGAATTCAAGTTTTAATATTGTTTTTTACTCTAAATCTGCTATTCCATCATCTTTAATTAAAAAAAGTAAAATTATTTTTAGAACATCATTCTATTTTCTATACCATATTCATTTTAAACCTTGGTAAAAAAATCTTCAGTATTTTATACTTAGGAAGGGTGTTTTAGGCTATAAATAAGTACAGTAAAATATGTCTGTCTATGTTAGAAATAGTTTTTTTTGAGGATGCTCAAAAACCATCAATTACTTATTCCCTCCCTATATAACTATTTTTATCTTGTAAATAAATTATTAAGAATAATATAAAGTTATTTCTTATTAGTAGAAATTGAAATAATAAAAGTAGAAGTATCTAATATGTATATAATATTTGTTATATCTTATAAATCAAACAAGCTATTATTTGTGTAATTTAGAAATTAAGTGATGTTATAAACCTAATAGTTAGTGTCTATTGTTTCTTTTTTTAGATTTGCTACTCAACAACCATTTATATTACAATAAATTACATTCAATATTTTAAAATTCTCACCTCAATGATATGTTCAGAAAATAAATATTATTTTTAATATTTCTTGCAAATTTTTTACTCCTTAGGCATATGAAAATGGTTTTCAACTTTATACTAATTAATATCGTTAGCTATTGTAGAGAGAGTTGTAAACAAAATTGATTTAGTTATTCATCTTTAATGAATATCAAAGTTGTTCTCCCTTTATCTTACTCATTGAGATAATTCTCATTAATCTTGAACTTATTATTAAATTTTTAAGTATATTAAATGAATTTAATTATTAAAAATTATTTTATTTGTTTAATTTTAGAAAAATTATTTTTTAATTTCTTAAATTTTGAAATTATTTTGAGTTTTTTATTAAAAATTTCGTTCATTTATTTAGGTATAGCTAGGAATATTATTCTTATACAATATCCCTATCAAAAGAGTTACAAAGAGGGGAATTCTGAGTTGGTGAGCTAAAGCAATTAATGAATGATTATGCCAAATAAATTTGTAAATTCTTATACTATATCCCTACCCTATCAGCAGAGTAATTCTGAAAAATTAAGCTTAAGCGAGTAATACGTATTCCTGATTAATCAATAATAATTGAAAGAAGATACTTTAATGAAATATAACTAATAAGACTATTTGATGTAAACGTAGAAGCTGAAATATTTAAAAGTATTTTGAGATTATTTTTAATTGCTTAGGAAAAGTATTTATATTTATTTTTTGCTTATCTGTTGATATAAAATATTATTTTATAATTAAAAGTGACTCTCTATTACTTTGATTGAAATAAACATTTCAAAGGGAATAAATTATAAGGCTAACATAACAGAAAATTATATCAAATATTAGAGTCGTTTTTTAGCACACAAGCAATTGCAAAATGATAATGTATAGTTTAAGTCTTCTATGAGTAATTTAAAATAGAAAATTGATTTACTTTCTAGATCCTTCAATTATCAATTATAAAGTATTCTTTTGATATCATAATTTGGTGGGGGCAGAATAATTAAAAATACTATAATAATAGATTTTAATTAATAACATTATTTGAAGTAAATTAATAATGTTGGATATAAATTCAAGCACTTCATAAATAAATAGATAGATAGAAGCAAAAAGTATTCAAGTAAGCAAATTCAAAATAAAAAATATTTTGATTAAAATATTCAAAGTTTACTTTAATAATGAGTTATCTTTGCATAGAAATAAATTAATTAGCTCAAATTTATTAATGTTAAATACAATGAATCATTTTTTAGTGAGTAGTTAGTTAATCATTTAGCAATCAATTAAAAAGTTAGATAAGATTATTAAATATTTTATAAGTAACTTATAAAAATAATCTAAAAAGTATTTATTTTATGCTTTTTTAGTATTCGATTTAAATATGCATGTTTGTTTTTCGCATTTTAGGTAAGATTATTTTTTAGTGATAAGGAAGAAAAATAAATTCTAAAAATCTTTTTGTGACTTAGTTCCTTACACATAAATAATTTAGTTTCTGTATATTCAAATAAAAGTGGGAGAGAGATTGATTAATAATAAATAATTTGGAAAATACAAAAAGTGGATAAGAGATTCTTTCTAATTGTGAAATTAATTGATTGAAATATCGAATAATAATTTCCAATATTTTTTATTAAAAATTTCACCATACATATAAATTTTCTTATTCTTTACTTCTGTTTTCTTTATATATGCTATGGTATATTTATTATATGAATTCTCTTTAATCTATGAAATAATTATAAGGTTTTGAGAAAATAGAAAATAATTTAAAAATTTTCTATTATTAAACACGTCTAAGAAGAACTTTTTACAATATTTAAATAACAGATATGTATATTTATTTATTCATTGAAAGAAATAGATAAAAAAAATAAATGGTTTGCTTACTATAAAAAAGCCTAATTTTTCCAAAAATTATTTTCATCTTATTGGATTTTTTTTCTACTCAAATTAAATGATAGATTTTTAATGCTAAAAAGCATAATTTTAATAAGCAAAAACAGATAAATCATTTTTGCTAAGATATTTTTTGCAATTATTATTTCTAAAATAAGTTAATAATATAAACATACTTTTGTGTTTTTTTACTTGTATCTTTCATCATAATATCAACAGCAATAATCACACCTAATAAAAGTAATAAAGACTTTACTAACATATTAATTAATGTGATATAACATTATATTCAGAAACAAAAGCTATTTTAATATTTTGTTGTTATCTCCCAGCATTAAATTTGAAATTAACTCCTAACATTTTTAAAAATATACTAAATTAAATTATCGCAATAATGTTCTTTCTTTCTTTATGCTTATTTACCATTATTTATTTAAATATAGAAATGTCTCTTAGCAAAAAGAATTTCATTTTTAGATAACAAATAGCTTTTTATTTTTTAAATTTATTCACTTTTCCATACATAAATACTTTAAATAATAGTAAAATGTGTATATTTTTGTGATCTTTTAAAATAAAGCTAATATATTACCTATTTTATTCCCAAAAATTAAAATTATAAATTAAGGCTAGAGAATATTAGATTAAAATATTTTTTCAAAAAATATTGAATGATGAAAAACATCAATAAAAGGATTTAACTTATTTCAAATTAATAAAAAATATTTTCTAAACAATAATTGCTTATTATAAGTTATCCAAAGAAGACCAATTTGCTGAAATTACTTTATGACTTTACTTTACTATTTTTTTTAAATAATTAATTAAATCTTGCCTTCAGATAAAGTTTTAAAATAAGGAATTATCATACTTTTTGGTTTATGCTTTTCAAATCATTTGTTACTTAAACAAAAATTAGCTTGATTTTTAGAAAAGTAAGGGTAATAATTTATCATTGCTCTTATTTGTATTAAAGCGATCAATAAATACAGAAGAAGTATAATAAATAAATCAAAATAACAATTAATAATTAAAATAAATAATGACCAGCTAACCAAAATAAACTGCTCTTAATAGTATCATAAACATATTTCTAGATATTGTTTATGAAAAAATTTCTGAGGATGAGCTAAATGTAGAGTCTTCATGGAATAGTACGTGCAATGACATTAGTCTAAAAGAGATATCTTCTCAAAATTAATTACAAGTTTCTTGCAGAGAATTTTAGAATTCATAATAGAGATCTGCTTAATACTCTGATGTTGATGATGAATAGTTTGAAGTCTCTAAAAATAAACATAACCAATTATAAAATATGATAAAAAACATCTTAAAAAGTTTTCTAAATTATTTAATTAAATTGTAAGATGGGGATACTATTAGAAAATATTAATAAATGTACAATAAAAACTCCCTAATAACCTTTTCCTAAATCAAAAAAGTTGTATCTAAGAAAGTAAATATTAAGGCTAATAGATGGAATTTTCAGCTACAAAGCATTGTTTAAAGTCAAAAATTAAAGAATATATTCTATCACTATCTAGTTAATTCATCTGAATCATGGTTAATACAATCAAAAGTTTCTAATACAAATGAACATCAAACGCTAATTTTCTTTATGCTAAATTGCATCGAAAATAACTAACCATTAAAAATAAAAACATATAAGAAAAAGAAATGAAATTATATAAACGCTTAAAATAAGCTAAGAAAATCTATTTGTTTATTTATTTATATATTTATTTATTAGACTTTAATTTAAATTATTTTAGCATAACATTATGAACCAATTATGAAAAATTCATTTTTTTTTATTCTTAATTTATTCAAAGCTATATCTTATTTTTCTTCTCTATTATTTATTCAAGTGTTAATTAAGTATCCATTTTTTTATATTTATTGTTTCTATTTTAATCCACTATATTTCTTTTATTATTTATTTTACCGCGCAAGCTATTTATTTCTCAATGTTTTTTAAAATATATATCATTTTGCAATATAATTAATTGAATTGATTATTTATAAACAAAAATTTATCTTCTAATATATTTTGATAAATTAAAAGAAAAATAGTAAGTGTGCCATCAAAAAATTTTTTAATTTTTGTGCAAAAATTATGAATTCCAAAATTTTTACCCTTGCGATAGAGCTACCACAAAACTTTAATCCTGGAAGTGCTATGTGATATATATAAATATTTATTAACTTAGATTTCTTTTAGGAAATATATTTAATCTAAATAAAACATCTTTTAAAACAGTAGCAATAATAGTAATTAATGTTTGTTATTATGCTTAAAATTATATTTAAACAAATTTTTTAGATTTAAATTAATCTAAATAAATTTCTTTGATTGATTATATTTATTATTTTTGATTTCTATTAATTAAATTGAATCTTTTAAAAGTATATATATTCCTTCATCAACTTCTTAATCAAAATAAGCTTTTACTATTTGATAAAAAATCAAAGTATTTTGATTCGTAAAGAGTTATTTATTGAATATTGCCTTTGGATCAATATGAAATGTAATCTATATTTTTTAATTTTTGAAAAAAAATACAATTCTTTCGATTTAGAAATATGCACTGAAAAATAGTACTAAAATTGATTTAAATAATTGCATTTTAAAATCATGATAATCAGAAATTTTCTAGCAAGATTATTAAATCAGCTTTTTTCTGTTTTTATTCTATTGATGTATTTATATAAGTAAATTAACTGCTTACCTTAAATAATTTACTTTGATTTTAGCTTATTTCAAAAGAAGATAATTTGTAATAAAATAATTCAAATAATTCTGAAAATACAAAATATAAAAGACTTAATTAGTTATTATTATTTTTTTATTACTATTATTATATTATTATTATCATCTATTTAAATGATTTTTGTAGATTGAATTTATCAATCAAAGTAAATGATTAATTAAATTTATTAATGCTTCTTATAAATTTTTTTTGACAAGAATAAGATTGCGAAATTATTTGGGATGTAATTTTTTATATGTAATTCATCATTTATATTGAGGTTTTAAAAAAAAGAATGAAAAATTCTTTACTTCTTAGCCTAAAAAACAGACAGTAATAAATTTAAATAATACAGAGCAAAAGAAAAACACTTAATTTTTATATGAGCGCGCTGGTTAAATAAAAGCTTTATTATTTTGAAAATCTTAAATCTAAATTAAATAAGGTTCTTTTAAGAATAAATGCAATTAGATAAGAAAATGCTTTTAATCTTTTTTTATAAAACTTTAAAATAATTTTATATAAATTCAGTAAAAATTCTTAATTACAAATTTTTGATCATAAAATTTAAAGAAATTAGTATATTTATTTTTAATTATTCAACACTTTTAATAATAAGTATCTATTAAAACTCTTGATATCTTTTTCTAAAGGTGAAAATTTATTTTAAAAATGAAAATTAATAAATTATTTTCAAAATATGAAATATATTTTTTAGATAATTTATACAATAATGATCTGATTAGAAAGAAAGTAGTTGGTTAAAAATTTCTATTTGATATTTAAATTTATTTAATAACTAATTTTTCTATCTTTTTTTATGAATTTTTATCAATTCTGTAGCTTGCTAATTAATTATTAAACAAAATAAATCTGATAAATTAATATTAGAATGGTAATTAATTAGTTTTACACAGTCTCCAATAACAAATGAGTATTTTACTCTAATTTATAGTTGAATTTTATCACTCCAAAATGAGGTGCTAGTTTAAAATCAAGAAAACAAAATTAGTTTTTTTCACTTTTACTTCATAAGATTTATATATCATTTTAATTTGATAATTTTTAAAATAAGTTCCATTTTCACCATTTAGATTGCAAATTTATTGAGTAAAACAACCACACACAATTTTCAAAATATCATGAATTAAATTTTAATATTCTTTTTTACCCTTAATCAATTAATTATTATCTTTTAAAAAAAAGTATTATTTATAATTAGAACATTTCTTTTAAAAATAGTTCTGATAATTTTTTATTTATAAAATAAATGATTTAAAGTAATTTCATCAATATGTTTTAGAAATAAATTGTTGAATAGTAGTAGTAATTAATAAATAAAGTAGCAATATCTTGATACCTGATTTAACTAAAATAATTAAAGTGGTAAATTCTCTAGTAGAGAGCTAGCATAACAGAAAGAGCCATAGACTAGGTTCATCATAATCCAAATAAATAGTAGAAGATGAATATTACTAAGTATAGCATACAGAAGGCTTTAATGAGGATGAGTAACATAATAGTCTTAAAATACTCCAAATAAAAAAGTTATAAAAAATATTTAAAAAGTTTTTTTAAAATATTTATTTGAGTAAAACAAGCAATTCTATTATCAAATCAAAGTGTCAATTTATATATAATGTATTCAATTTAATTTCTTACTCATTTGAAATTAAAAAATCTTTTTTCAAAAAAAGTTAAATAAAAGGATTATTATATTTATGCTACCCTAAAACATTTTTATTTAATTGAGGTTTTATGATTAATACTTTTTTACTACTTTTCAATAATTTAATTTAACCAAATTATTATTTAGAAAAAATTCATATATTTTGTTTTACTTAAAATTAAATTAGTTATTCAAATATATTGCTTAAATATTACTCAAATAAAAGTATTGAATTTAAAAAAGTTATTTAATTTGATAAATAAGATTCTTTAATTAATAGTTAATATTTGTTCTTAATATTTTTCTTTACTGAATTCAATTTATCGTTTATTTAATTCAATATACTCAAGAGAATTTGTCTAGTAAAATAATTGTTAGATTTAAACAAAAATAGCTTCTAAATATATAATACAATACAACAAAATTTAAAATATTACTTTTGTAAACTAATATTAAGAATAGATTATATAAATTTTAAAAAAAATTATCAATCTAAATTAGCTTATTTAAAATATTATTTGAATATTTTGTGGTTGGTCATATTTAATTTTGCAAATCTTTGAATGGGAATTAATGTTATTTCTAAAAAACAATAATTGTTAGATATTGTCGTAATATATTTTTTAATGATGTGTTATCGCAATAACTGGCTAAAATTTTAACAATTCTTGATTTCAATAAATATATGTTTTTTTTTTTTTTTTGAGTTGGTTCATAAAATAAAGAAAATTGATGATAAAGCAAAATTTGTTAAGCTTTAAAAAAAATCTTGATTTTATAAAAAAGTAAGAAATAATTAAAATTACTCAAAAAATTAAATTAAAAAAAAGTATATGAGTTCTCAACAAAATAACAACGCTCTAAATAGTGTAATAAACATATTTCTTGATGTAGTTGCTTAATCAATTCCATAAAATGAATTAACTTCTGAATCTGCGTCATTATATGAATGCGATAGCTGCTTTTAAAGGGAGTTAGTTTTGAAAAAATAGCAGGATTTAAGCTTTGAACCATCGCAAAGCTATTAAAATATTAATAAATAATCTAAAGATTATGACTATTTTGAAGAAAGGATTGATGCTAAATTGAAATAAAATCGATAATAAAATATAATAAAAAACATTTTAAAGAGCTTTCTAAGCTATTTAGTAAAATTAAAAGACTCAAACACGAAATAAAAATACTTATAATTGTATTTCAAACAAAACAATAAGCATTTTTCTGAAATAAAAAAGGCTGTTTCTAAGAAAGTAAATATCAAAACGAATAGATGGAATTTTTAGCTTAGAAGCCTTCTTTAAAGTTAAAGCTTAAAGCTTATATTTTATGATTATCTAGCTAATTACTCCTAATAATGGCTTTAAAAATCTAAAGTGTTTAATTTAGATGAACATCAAAGGCTAATTAACATTCTTTTAAATTGCATAGAAACTAACTAACCATTAGATATAAAAATATATAAGAAAAAGAAATGACAAATCTAAACCTTACATGAATATAACTTATTAATTGTTAATATTTACAATCAAAACAATATATAAAGCATCTTTAAGCATTATTTTGAATGAATTCATTGAAATAGTTATTATATTTTATTTATACTGTTAACTCTTATTACTATTAATAAATATATATTTATTCTATATACAAATTTTTCTGAAAAAATTAGCGATTTAAAAAGCAAGATTTTTTTTTTGCATTTATCATTATATTCAAACATATTAGTTTTTAGCTTTATATTAATCAAAATTTTGTTGGTTGTATTTATTTATAATTTTTGGTTTCGATTAATTAAATTGAATTTTAAAAAAATATATTCCTTGCTTAACTTCCTAATTAAAATATGTTTTGGCTATTTGAGATAAATCATATAATTTTAAATTCTAAAGATTTATTTTAT